TTTAGTAAAAACATTCAAACCCTCAAAACTCCTGTCATAGCCAAAGCTAATCCTTGGAAGAGCAAAAGAAATACCTGTTTTATCCCTATTTTTTTAATGAGGCGGAATAATTTCTTTACCTTTAAATGATATAGTATATAAACAACTAAACAAGATACGTCTGGGTAATCCCCCTGCTGCAGTTCTAGCCACACTTATTTAGTTTACTTTGAAATTGGTGAATTTCATAAGTTTTCACCCTATATAAAATTTTAGTAAATATATAAGGATGATACCCTACTCATATTAAGAAATAACACAAACGTTAAATTGATGGACTTCGCGAAATATACGATTCTTTATACTAGATTAAATTGAACTTTGAAGAAGAACAAAGACAACCAATTCCCTTAGACGTTTGCAAAAAAAAGCCAGTAAAATTGTCTGCATGACCCATGAAAAAAACTTTGCTTATAACGTTACACAGCCTGCAATAGTGTTTATCCTTTTAGTACATTAACTGGGCTTATTGCGGGCATGATACAGGTAAAAATATCTACGTACGTACCAAGAGGATTTCTGGTCTTTATAATGCAAGCTTGAATAGATGTTATCTTAGTAGGTATTTAAAACCTTATATGAGCTACACCGTTAAAGCTGTTTTAAGAAACCAAAAAATGTCTCTTCAGTTAATTTCAATAATTCTGAGAATTACAACGGTTTTTGTAAAAGTGCTAACATTCTTAAATTCGTCTATGAGCCAAACGGCGTCAAAAAGAGACTTCTACGTGACATTTTTGGAAAAATTAATTACAGAAAATTATAAATATTCTAGACTAATAATAGTATATTAAAAGCCTACTAACTTTGAAGATTTTTTTTGAGTAATTTTTTTTAGAAATTAAGAAATTAATTAGACTTGTCTCTATAAATAAGTAAGTTATTATTATTACTGCTTCCACCATTTCAAAATGAGATTCAATACTATTTTTTTTACAATGCTTCCAACTGCCAAAAACAGAAGGAAAACTATTAAATAGTAGAATAATATTAAATTTAAAAAGATAAATGTATAAGGATCCGTAGTAAAACTAACTTGAAAAATGAGCATTCTTTCTTAAGTAGCGTTTTCTATAATTTAGAACAAAAGCTTGGTTACGTAAATGGTGATGACTCAACTGCTAAACCTTAAACCTTTGCTCTATTATACTTCAGCACTCTCTTTATACTCAACAATTTATTGAGCTTAATTTAGAAAAACGTAAAAGCTCTAAGAATGAAAAACAATAAACTGAGCACTTTTATATTTGTATATATTAACTCTATAATTAAACACTGTTCTTTTCTATCTTAGTTAGATATCGCTAACATTTCCACAGCTTTTTCCTTCTCTAAAGCAGTGCTCGTTTATGAGGTAACTCGATAACTTAATATATTTCACTTTCATTTCGTTATAGTTTTAGCCTTACATTATGGCTCTGGCATTTCTTTGTATATTAACTTAATTGGGTATTGATGTTGATTACCATATTCGTGAACTTGAAACCTTATATGTCGTACTAAAACTCTGGTTCACTAAGTCGCAAACAATCTGCTATCCTTCTAATTATTTTTATAGCCTTACGTTACTTAATTAAATAATTTTCATAAAAAAAATTATAATTTCTGTGAATAAATAATATAGGGTTGTTTTAGTTAATGTACTCACTAATGAAGGCACAACAATGCATAAGAGACACTGGAGCGGGAGTCATGAAAAATTTAGTTGTACGAAAATAGTTTGCATTATATATTAATACAGGTCGGTCTTATAGTGGTGTATTTCACTAGAAATTATAAGGGCCAGGTTATATAGGCGGTCCTTAAAGACCGAAAATGCGAGTAGCGTCGGTGAGACCTTGATTGTGCATTAATGCTCTTAACCCTGAGCTACTACGATGTCTCGATCCCGTTATAAAGATTTTACGTATTTAACCTGTTATATTTTGTCATAGAAGCGACCTACAGGGGTCTTGACGAAACTTAGTGAAATTTATTATTTCCGGTTATCGTATAGCCAACTAGATCTAGTATTCCGTTTAACTTTTTATATACAATATTTATTTTTAACTGAAAAATTATACGAAATATATATTGCTTAAGACTAAGATGGTGCAATAAGGATTATAATACACACCACCCATTATAATGTTTATGTTTGCCTCTTAACTCGTGTGACTAATTCTTTCTCAAATTTTTTGTATGCATTATTGCTTCACGACTCATTTTTATAAAATTTTCTTCATTGCACCCAACTGCGTAAAACTTCTACGTTTAGGTTTCTATAGCGTTATATACTTTTTACACCAGTCATCAAAGGTCGTAGTTATTGGAGCCACTGAAAAACCCTTTAAATAACCTTTAAAAAGATACTTTGCAATTTATCATATCACCAAAATTATGAGAAAAAATTTTGTAAAATATTAAATTATCGTTAAGTTTACTTGTATTGTTGTCGAATTCTGTTTTCTACGAACTATTATGGCGCTCAGCATGCCATCTTATTGCTTTACCTGCTTTCTTCGTTTACTAACTAATTGCGCATCCCTTAAATATTGCCTCCTTTTCGATCACGGGTCATAGTTCCTCCCCTTATTTTAGTAAAGCCCCAGACACATACTAAATTTTAAACTTTCGCTGCCATTTTATAATTTTAATGTGGTTGTTTAAATAGAAATACCGTCAGGCGCCTCAGTTACTTACCAGATACCAGCCCATTTTAAAATTTTGGTCCTTAAGCATTAGCCAGTGCGTTATTCTACTCTTTATACCCCTTATTATCTTCTATTTCTCTTGCATCCCTATTATTAAAAATTAACAATGTGCGTCTCCTATCCAGCTACATACGAATTATCCTTTACAGTGTTAAAATACCACTTCCATTTCCATCTTCGGTTAGGGAAATATTGTAACCTACATTTACCTCGTTCATAGCTTCGTTTTTCTCCTCGCCAAGCTTAGTAGCTCGTTCCAATAGTTGGATCTACTTGTCCGCACTTTTACATATGGCAGATTTGAATAAAGTTGACTTAATAAATGTGACTATAACAGGGACGACCTAGAACTGGCAAGTAATTCCTTTCCAAAAACTTATTTATGAAAAGGAGCTTGCGTTGGCTACAGCTGCTATTCATATTTTTTATAAACATTTTTTTATCTAATGACAGAAATTATACAATAAACTAACATGATGAACTTAATACCTAAAAGTATTTTCCCTTCCAAGGCATAAGCAAGATTTTAAAAGGAGTAGTTTTTAGTTTTACCATGTTTAGTATTTTCACCTTACTAGCCCATATAAGCGTGATAAAAGGAAAGTTTATTAGTACACCAGTATTTACATTAGTTCTTGTAGGAAGGAATGAACAAACTAATCTTATACTAATATGGCCATTTAGCTCTACAGATGCACCGTAATTTTTAAATTTAACCTTATAACAAATGTTTAACAGTTTGAACCAACAATTCTTAATATAGGTCAATAAATATGTGTGTCTTGGATCTATTAATGTTATAACGTTGGCCAGTTTTTTACAAAGTTAATTTGATAAAACCCTCGCCCTTTGGGTATAATAAAACTTTACTTTTTTTAAAAAACAGGCTTACAGTCTTTTAAGTTTCTTATCCATGTTACCAAAGCGTGATATTAGTCACCTAATTTTAAACTTAAAAGATAAAATATTTTAAATTTGCAAATAGAAACCAGTTCTAAGGCATAATGAAAAACACAGTTATTTATGCTCGGACAAGAAACTATAGTAGTAGGAGCAAATAGGAGATAAGTTGAAGTCCACGCAACTCAAAGTTTCGACGAAGGTAACGTTGGGATTTATAATATTAATAAAAAACAGTTGAGTACTTTACTCGCCTGCTGTTTTTAACTTCATCTACTGGCCCTGGTTATCACCGCTGTTAAACTTTAGGTCTCCAAATCAGCAGCTTAGATAACTATGCACTTAAAATTTTTTATTAAAGCTATCAATTTTTTTAACAAACTCTCCAGTTCTTACAACTTACTACCATTATCACTAGACTTTACAAAAAGCGTAGCCCACTTGCTGAAGGGTAATGCCTAAATTAAAAAACTACAACTAAGTTGGCAGAGCAGGATGTACGTTACAAACATTACTACGGCACCCACTACCATCCCTGGGGAAGTCACAGATCTATAATGAAACTGCACTTAAACCCGATGAAACTTGTATATAACTTCTGTAATTATAAACATGGCTGTATTATGTCAACTTTTTAATATATATCTAACCACCTTAAGTATTAGTAGTGTTCACCCAAAAGCTCTAGTTTAATAAAGCATTCGTATTTAATAACATTGATAAGCTAAAGAATATAACAACTTTGGCTCTTAACTGATGTGGTTAAGAAAACGTCTTATATTGTATCATTTATTAAAAGCTGTTACAGGAATTAATGAAGTATATGATTTTTGTGAGCTGTCCACCAATTCCAGATTTAGTTCTCGAGATAAAACTTTAAAAAACCGGTTTCTTTCGGCCTACTTCTAACTTTTAGACTAAAGAAAAATAGTTTAACCTTTATAGCTATGCACAGTCAAATTTAAAAGCAATATTAATTATGAGTGTATTAAGCTATTACCCTTACTTAGTAGACAAGGCACAATGTTTTAGTGAAACTAACTGAGATATGTTTTATAAAAATTTCGAACTAGTAGACTCTATTCCTGAGGGTATGATTACATATTCAACCATTATATTGTTCATTTATAACACTTCACTCGTCCTCAATGCACGCATAGCCGGATTGCTTGAGTCGACCATTAAAAAAAAAGCATAGGATTGCTTCAAATAGAGATTTAAACAGGGGACAAAACTTAAACTAAATAGTAAAATTTTTTCATACTACATCCATGAGGCTTTATAAAGCCGCAAATATAAACCTACAAATACATATCGATTTCTATATTATTTGTTGTAATTTAGTAAATGTTCGCGGGCCAAGCCATCCACACTGAAGCAATCGATCAAGGAAGTCGTGTGATCGTAGTTTTTCTCCGATGAGGCTGCTTCTCTGCAAGAAAGTTTAAGGTATATGGTAAATCGCGCTAATTATATATAGAAACTTTGTGATGTCCACCCATCAAGATTTATGTATATATTTAGCATGTATACAATACAAATTAAATAATTATAATAATAAAATTAAATAATTTATCTAGGAGGTAGAGTGCAGAGCTACGCTAACTAAGTAAAGCTAGTGTTAACTAGAAAACCACAGACTGGTGAACACAGTTTCCAATTTTTTTAATTTTTGTACTAAATAAAGAACTATTTAAATACAAAGTAAATGACAATTTTTAATGACCTTTAGTGCACTAATAAATTTATTAATAGTCTTTATTTAGCTATTAACGTTTTAAGTCAGTAATAAAACTAGAACCTACCACGTTAGGTTTATTAGTAAATTTAGTACCTTTATAAAACTATTTATTCAATGATACACTAAAAGATGCATCGAAACTTTCAATCAGTGAGCATACCGACCTTTGTAGTTCGTGAAAACAGTTTTGTGGTTAGTCATTTTTAGTCTGGTTATATACTTTGTTGTGTATTTTTTATTTATTTTTTACTTCTCATCCTTTGATAATATAGCTTAAGGTTAATATATCATATAGGAATATAAAATAGAGCTTTTGACAGCAACTTCCAGCTGGAGTGTCTGGCGTCGCTATAGTGAATTTTGTTCTTTACACGAAAAAGTAAGTTATTTATTGATTTTTATAAAAAAAATAAAGTTTATTTTTAA